TACCAGGCGCTGGTGAAGCCGCTGGAGCCCCGGCTCAGCCACCGCCTCCCAAAAGGGGTCCTCATCGGCCTGATGTGGGCCGCCGCCCTTCTCCTCGCCGCGCCCAACGCCGTCTTCAACATCGTCGTGGAGATTAAGATGTTCAATCGGCTGCAGATGCAGATGGTGGCCGGGGGAAAAGAAGGAGAGCACGGAGGTGACGGTGGTGACGGGGGTGACGGGGGTGACGGGGGTGACGGGGGTGATAATGAGCCAAAATTGGAGGTGCAGGTGCTGCACCGCTGCAAGACCGTCTACCCGGAGCACTCGGAGCGGCTCTACCAGCGCGCGCTCACCGGCTTCGCCTTCGCCACCCAGTTTCTCCTGCCCCTGCTGGTGGTCGCCTTCTGCTACCTCCTCATCGGCGTCACCATCACCCGGCGGAAGTTCCTCGGCGAGTGCATCACCACCCAGCAGGCCGCCTCCGCCGTCAGCTCCAAGCGGAAGACCATCAAGATGCTGATGCTGGTGGTGGCGGTCTTCGCCCTCAGCTGGCTCCCCTACAATCTGCTGTACATACTGAAGGACTTCCGCGAGGTGGAGTTCAGCCTGACGGAGCACTACATCGCCCACTGGGTGGCCATGTCCAGCCTCTGCTACAATCCCTTCATCTACTTTGGGTTAGTTTGGCCCCGTTTGCTGCTGCTGCTGCTGCTGCTGCTGCTGCTGCTGTTGATGTCTTCTTTTTATTTTATTTTATTTTACATTTTAATTTCCGCTTTTTATTATTACATTTTTTTCTCTTCTAAAAATGACCTAAATTCCACTTTTTTCTTTCTTTCTCTTTCTTTTTCTCTTTCTCTTTCTCTCTTTTATTTTTTCTCTCATTCTTAACCCATTCATTCCGTTTAGCCTAAACAAAGAGTACCGCCAGGGAATTCTCGCCGTGTTCAGCTGCTGCTGTTGCTTTTCAAGAGAAGCTGCGGCAGCGGCCGCCACAAGGGCCGCAAGAGCAACCGCCGATGTCAGCGCCGCCGCCGCCGCCGCCGCCGCCGTTTCAGCAGCCTCCACCACCGAGCGGAATCAGTCCAACACCGAGATTGTCTCCATTCGAGGCAGCGGCAGTCTGACGCGAAAGTGCAGCCCAAAAAATATTCAAGCACAAAACTATGCACAAAATGGAAACAGCAGGAGCAGGAGCAGCAGCAGCAGCAGCAGCAATGCTATTGCTAATAATACCAATAATAATGGTAGCAGTAATAGTTGTAGTAAACAGAATCAACATCATCTACACGACAACGACGGCAACAGCTTTCCGCTGATGCACTTCAGCCGAAGTGCCAGCAACAACAGCAGCAGCAACAGCAGCAGCCACTGTTTTAATACACCGACCACTTCTTCTAATAAACAGCAGCAGCAGCAGCAGTCATCGCCTCATCAACTGTACAGCGACAACTGTAAATTAAAGGCAACCCGACAGAATGGCAATGCTATTTATTCTGACGCTGCTGCTGCTGCTGCTGCTGCAACTGCCGGTGATGCATTTTCATTAGTGCCAATGAAGCCGTCAAACACTGGGCAAAAAATGCTCCTCAAAACAGCACCAGCAGCAGCAGACGTTGGAGCCCCAGTGGGCATGACCACCATAGGGGTGGCCATTTGATAAGCGTTACGATGAAATCTGTCGCAGGAGAAAAAAACAGATGAGGAAGAAGGGCGGACAACTGGGAAATCGCTCAGTTGTCCATGTCTTTTCCCTTGCACTATCATGAGTGCCACTGCACTTCACGTTTCAATTGGCAAACAAAGAAAAAAACTAAAAAAACTAAATGAAGTTATGCGACTAATTGTCAACGTATAATAATTTTTTTTCATTTTTTGCTTCTTGATTCTGTCCCAGCTTTTTTCTCATTTTTTTTGTAACAATTTTTTAATTTCTCAATTCCAATCTCTCAATTTCATGTACGCTTGCATGATTTTTATTTTTATGCTGTTGCTTCTCAGTGCGTTTCATCCTTGTCTTTTGAGTTTTATTTGTTTTTTGTTGTGCAATTTTTTTTTTATTTTTTATATTGTGTTCAGCTAAAAAATAAAAGAAAAAATAAATTATTCACTAAACCAAGCAAAAACAAATTAATCCACAACATTAATTTTTCAAATTTTAAGATGAGCATCTTTGTTTTTACAAAAAAAATGACAATAAACTCAATGTATTTGTCATTTTTAATGTTTATTTTTTATATAAAACTATTTTGTTGTTTTGTAAATGACATAAAATAAAACAAAAATTAAATCTCATTTGTGACAAAAATAATGAGAAACCTAATTTTTTAAAGGGAAAACAGTCTAGTCTGGTTTGCTAACAGCTTTTTGTCTGAGCAATACTAAATGACACCTCGACCAATTTGACAAACAACATTTTTAATAATAATAATAATCTGTTTGCTTTTGCTCAAAATCAATCCTTGACTTACTATAATCAATCACTGAAAAAATGTAGAAATGGCAAAAAATGTATTTAGTTAAATTTAGCAATTTTTGCGCGACAATTGCTAAAAAACAATTATTATAACAATTTTATTTTGTTTATTTGTAATTTCATTTGTGTTTTTAACATTTTTTAACTACTGTTGCAGGTGCACCCCCCAGTCATAGTTCATTTCTCTTATCTTTTCCTCTTTTCCTTTAGTGTTCTATCTTTTGCCCCCTAGTGGCCACTTCATGTCTATCATTTGCCCTTTCGTGGCCATGTACTCATTTTTTATCTTGTCACTTTCTTTCTCGCCACTCACTGTCTGTCCATGCGCTGCGCGGTGTTCTCGGCCGTTCTATCTCGCCGGAGCACATGCTCTTAAGGTAAGCCTCAGCAGCCCATGTCTTCAGTCGTGTGTTGAGCGCTTTCTGTGTCACACCGTCTCAAATAAACCCTTATCCCGCCGTCACCAGGCAAACCGGCCGTCACCAGGCCTCCCTCTCTCTCTCCCTTCAACCGAGCCAAGCCGCCGGACTACCTCTCTCCCTCTCTTCAACCGCGCCAAGCCGCCGGACTTACCCACTCCCAGTTGAACTCGCGCGCTCAAACCGAAGCCGTTCATCTGTAACCGTCAAACACCGGCGACAAGCCCACTTCGAACTCTGC